CAGGAGTACATGGAGAAAACCCACGCATGCACAGAGAGAACATGCAACCTCCATCCAGAAAGTCCCCAGGTTAGGATTTGATTCAGCAATCTTTCTGCTGCGAGACAACAGACAACCAACTGGTCCACTGTGCCACCTATTAATACAAAAAAACAAAAAACAAAAGAAAGAATATAAAAAAACAACAACAATAATAATAATAGTAATAATAATAATAATAGAACCAGCAAACAATTTCCCCCTGGAGACTAAGTATACTTGAATTGATTTGTATTATGAATCGAGCGTTATGTCACATTGTTCTAGAACAGTGGTGTCCAATCCTGGTACTGAAGGGTCACAATCATTCACGTTGTAGAGGTTCCTCTGCTGCACACCTGATATGAAGAATGAGTGATAGGCCACAGCAGAACTTGAGGACCTGCTGAAAAGCAGACAAATGTCTAACACACACTGGATAGTGGTCCTTGTTCATAAGGATTGGACACCAGTGTTCTAGAAGAAGTAATAAAAGTAGTGCATGTATATGTGTGTATATAATTCAAATCCACAACGTATTGATGTACATATGTATGTGTAATAGTAATACTACAGCTTATGTTTGATTAAGATTCTCATACTGTCAGAATTTCATGCCCCATGTCTAATCATGCCTATATTTTAAATATAGCATCAGTAGAGTCATATTCATATCTTCACATGGTAATATAATAAATAAAGAACAAATAAGATAATTAAAGAATAAATAAAGAAATAAAAAAAGAATAAAGAAGAAGAATAAAGAACATTTGTACAGCCCAATTTGCTAGCCTGTATTTTATAGGCGATTTAAGATTTGACGCTTGCTTGTGACGGCTATCTGAGTGTCTAATTGACGGGGTTTGACATTTGTTTCGGTCTCCTCCTACGCTCCAAGATCCCTCTCCCCCATGTCTCTGTCCTATCCGGACTATAGCCTATGATATAATTACCCTCATTAAATGGCGCCCCTGGCTTTAATTAAAAGCGTCTGTTGATGATTCATTTAAGATGGTCGGGTGACTGAAGTTCAGGTAGCGCAGCCTGCAGCTAGAACAGGAGCGTGGCTGCCTCAGGGCATCAGTCCTCTTGTCGTGACGTGGCAGGTTTGACACTGCAGCTTCTGGTCAGTTCATGGGTGTGAAAGTGCATCATCTTGGAGATATTATATTGCACACCTAATTAACTTCGGCTCTGTGGCATTTATTCCTAATTAACTGCATATTATCATTAGGAGGGGCTCATGTATTGATGCAGGATACAGCAGCCCACGCATGTGATCTTTATAAAGACCTGACGGGAAGGACTAGACACGAGCTGATTAATGTGGAACTTTGCTTCTTTTTATGCAGTTGATTAAGTTTATTGAAGGTTTTGTGGAGATCTCACTTGCATGTCAAAGTGTGAATTTTTTTCTCCTTTGTGTTTTTCACCCATTCCCACAAGTTAGAAAAGAGTGATATCGCCAAGTATGCATTAGATTTTTTAACACCACATTGTATTATTTTAAATATGTTGTTTATAGTTCTCTACAATATGTAATAGAAAGTGTTGGGACTAATAAAAGCGGAATTTCTTTCACAAAACACATTTATTATATGTGTATATATATATATATATATATATATATATATATATTTGCTTTTGACAAGTTTCAATAATCTACCCAACTTTCAACACCTTACCTTAACAGTCCTTTTGAAATGGTTTGGTTATAAACTGCCTTCTAGATGAAAGGAAGTTCAACTTGTGAGCATGTTTATTGATGGTATAATTTATTTTAGAAATGTTGTATGTCTAAATTTTTTT